CGGTCGTTCGGACGGGATTTAATTAAAACAGGCTCGCGCGCAAGTGTATACCTATGTTTTATATTATAAAAACGGTACGCGTGAAATCGTCCGAAGTATTTTTCGTTTTTACCTCTGCTGCACAGTGAAAGAGAAACAGAGAGAGAGAAAGACTTATATTGAGTGCATGTGTAGGTATAATTAATATATGGGTATATACGTATACGCATTCGATCGTACGGCTCCGTTAATGGGGCCCGAGGAAATCGATTCGACTACTCTCGTCGTGAAAAGTGGGCGTCACGCGAGACGTGCTCCTGCAGTTGTGGTGTCCGACATTTTATTTTTTTAATTACCCATCTTCTTTGGAATTTTCGTCGACAAACAAAAATTCTGTCGCCAAAAGTCCGTCCGTCCGCCCGTAATGAAATAAATAATAATATACAATATTACGTAATATTGTGTATAATATTATTTGGCATACCTATAGGCTATAGCTATAATCTATATATTTTTAATAATATAATTATTTAAATCATGAATTTACTGCGCAGTAGACAACGTAGTTAATTATATATTATCAATAGGTATTGGTACATAATTAAGTAACACTTGTTTATGTTCTCGTAAAGTTGGATATAACATTAGGTCTATCCTAGATGGATGAAAATGAACTATAATGGTTCTTGAACTAAACTCCGTGTTACCGGACGTCAAAAATTCATCACGAAAATATATTATATGATATAATATTATGTTTTTATCTGTAAAATATGCAATGAACATTTTTGGAATAAAAATCTAGCGATCGCGAAACATATTTGTATCGAATCAGATTTTAAATATGCACTTTCCTGACAAATATGCAAATGCATAAAGTTCCGAGCCCTGTTCATGATACGTTAAGTATATATAATATGTGTGTATACAATATTTTACATGTACGGCACCCTTCGAGTGGATTATGTACACATATTATAATAACTAGGGTGGCGACGGCGGCGGATTTCTTCGTCCAGAATTCCGACGTACGTGGAATTCCAAGCGTTTTAATTATGCCATCTCGAGTCAGAAAAACGACGAGGGTATAAAAACGATTATTATTAGTATAGCGGCGCTATGTACATGCATATCATTATTATTATTAATATTATATATAATCGGGATGTAATTTAGTAATTATATAACAATATACGAGGATGGCCGAAGCTGAGATTTTGGAATGTCGACAAATTCGAATTTTTACGAGATGTTTTAATAAAATTTCCGTCTCGGGGGAGAGCCCGAGAAACGCGCTATTGTAAAATATATTTTGTTATCGTTGTGTTATCGTAATAATTATATTTTGTTAATAATGCAATATAAGCTATCATGTATATACAAGAGTACATATATATACATTATACACGCATACGCCGAACCTTTTCGGTCTTGTTAGTGCGTACCATCATCGTCGTCTTCATCGTCGTCATCGGGAAACCGTATCATATTTATATATATATATATTATATCACAAAATACTATAGTATAATATTTTGTATACATTGTTCTACAGAAATTCTTGAGCTTTTAAAACTTTATCAGATAATATTTAATAACGACGACGACTGTAGCGATGGTGCCGTGGTGGACGTATGTATAACAAATCATTATTATTTTACATTGGATAAAAACGCGGCAGTTCGACGATCTAGGTGTATAAATGAATAACGTTACATCGGGAAATATTGGTCATGGCAGATCCCACGAACTAGGGAAGGGCTGAAATTCTCAGAACCCAGACACATATACCATACACAAACTGGAATGGCATTGAAATTCTCTATTTTTTTAAAAATAAATTATAATCTAATAATTTGATGCACGCCATATACCTTAGGATGCTCCAGACTTGCCACGTTTGTCGTCTAATGGTATTTCTTTCTTCCTGACATCGCCCAAAACTTAAGCTAGTTTATGTACACTCGTATTGGAAGTTAATAGCTCAAACTTTCAAAGTTAAAAATAATTGGCACAATAAATTTCAGATAGCCTCTGCAGACTTCAAAGTTAATTATTGACGGCCTTCTGTTTCACGTCTCGGTATATAGAATATAGACCTTATAACTCAATTAAAATTGCAATAAACGTGCAATATGTTCGATTAAGTACCTAATAATGTTATTGTTTTCATAAACATTCGTAACATATTATGTATCTCTTACAGTTGCATTGATAGGAAAATAAATCTTGATATATATTTACGTAATAATAATAAACAACAAATAAATATACAGAATGTATGTTACTTCATGGAAGATATTCGTACTTATATCTAAATCCTACTTAAAAAATCCTAAGTAAAATAATATACGTATTATATATTAATCTTCGGATTATAGTGAAACTGTTTTCAAACGTAATTATAAGCTGTTTATAACATTAACCGTATGTCGTTTTGTAAATAAACCCCCTCCTCATCGTAGCTTTTGCGTATAGAATAACACGACTTAGATATGGAGCCGAAGCTGTTCTCTCGTAACATAATATTACTATATATAAAATCGGTCGTGTCACGATAATCGTAAAATTACGTGTGTTATCCGGCTTGACACATTTTTTATCGCTCAATAAATACCGCCTTCGATTTCATTCTCTCTCTCTCTCTCTCTCGATTTTTATCTACACATCACATATTATATTTTCTCCCGGGTGCATATGCGGATATGATTAACGGCTAAATAAACGCGTTCATATATAATATTTTAAAGGTATATTATATTATTATAATATACGCTGTTCTACTTTATGTAGTTTAAAAAACTGGTCGTGAAAAATTCACACATTACACTGCCACAGCGCGTGTACGATTTTTTTTGTCGTTGCACATAATGTAGTATAATGATAATACTTGCATAAAAAAAATTGTGAATTTTTCTCAGAAGTCGTATACGTAACATCATCTGCAGCAGCAAACGGGGGAGGTAAAAAAAATCCGATCTCATTATATATTATATTATACTCGTTTCTAATACGGAACCATTAAAATAAACGTTATATTGCGGTACGCCGTATGTATCGATCGCCCCGACTGAATAATAATAACAACAATAACAATGATAACTCGAACGCACACACACAAGTACAACAAGTATGTATTGTTAACACACACATGATCACGAGTACCGGACGCAGACGGGTCTCATGTATCCATACGGCGAGGAGAAAAAGTAAATATATAAATCAATATCGCCAAAAAAAAAACTTTCTCGGTCGACCGAGATCGACGAGGTTGCCGCCGCGCTCGGTGTGCAACAGTTTCCGACGGGTGCCCTTCCGTCACGTATACGGAATGTAGTCGTATAATATTATTATTATTATTATTATATATATGTATAGGTGTAGTAGGTACTGCCGCCGCTGCAACCGATCGGACGTCGTTTAAGTATAATAATAATAATATAATACCTATACGTCGACCGATTTGGGCTTGGTATAAACGGGACCGGATCTGTGCAACCCGCACTAATAACAATAATTATTATAGTCGATGATACGCATACGACGACGACGACAACAACGACGACGACGCACATACAAAACAGTGTGCGGATTTTTTTTTTGACTACACATATTTTATGCGCGAGGCAACTTTGCCGAGTATATATATCTAGGTTACGCGGACGTATCGAGTGCGTATTCCTTAACGAGAGAATATGTATATAGATATAGGTACCTATATAAAGTATATACGCACACGGTGTGCGTTTATCGAAAACCTCTCCCATATCTGGTTACGAGACCCGTAATTATAACCGGCCGAAAAATCGAAATAAATAAATAAAAAACCGTTCATTTCGATGTCTAAAGCTGGCATTATAACGTATAATATTATTTACCGCGTGACGATTAATCAAATTCGAACGATCGTCGGCGATACTGTCTCTTGTCTCTATCTCTCCTTCTCCATCTGTTAAATCGTCGATCATAACGCGCATTTTACGGCCACATAAACGCGATAAATTATTTTTATTTTGTTTCTTCATCGTGTTCTATATCATACTGCCGAGCATTGCAGTTTGTGACGTAAACGACGGTATATGTAGGTATATGATATTATATATAAAAGAGAAAACTTCGCGATTATGGTACGATATTAACTGTCCGATTTTAATTATTATTATTAATAATAATATTATTGCTGTATTTATTGAACGATAAAAAACAGTTCGGTTCACAGCAGATATACAGGTGGTATAAATATAGTGCCGCCAAGATGTTTTTACTCTCGCGAACTCGTAAAGTGACATAATGACGGATGCAGCCGCGCGTAATATCGTAATAAACACTCTTCTAGATCGAAAATAACTCTAGAAACTCGTATGCAACGCGGTTGATAGTATGCGATCGAGTGTGTCGGGTAGTAATTTATACGTCATAATATACGCATATTTCAATAAATTGTTCACGCTAGTCGTATGGGCCGACGACGATGATTTGACCACACACGACACATCACACATAAATACATACACACTACATCGTCACAAAATAGCGACGTCTGATATAAATACTGGAAACTGTTTTTTCTTTTTTATAATGTAAGTAACAGATATGTAAACGGAATTTTCGGGAGCGTTAATAATTTGAAAGTATTGGGAATCATTCAGACATTCCAAAAATTCCTGGTCTAAACGGAACATCCTGATTTTAAAATATACCTACGATTTTTCATTTATTACATAGGTATATTGAATATACATATACTATTCACGGTCTTATTATTAAATAATATACTGTACCTATTTTTGTATGGTATAACAGCAAAATATTTTTTATTGGAATTACGATTAAATTTAGGTAGATGACGAATATTATATTTCTCCGACAAACGTGAACCCTTATTTATTGTAACATAATACAATAATGTTATATGATGTGAGGTCTCACAAAGCTTTTAGATTTCCTTGAACGACAAAATATGTGATATTATATATAATATATAATAATATAGTAACGTGATTTTTATCATTGATCCATAGGGTAACATGCACCCTTCTTTCCCGTACGAGAGTGGCCGTTCCCGAGGAGGCGAGTACGGTTCCGGCGTCGGTGGAGTTCGCGGCCGAGGCGACGTACTCGTCCAGTCACACCCGGGCCTGGAGGACTCGCTGGTCCTGCATAACGCCCTGTCCAGCGTGGTGGAAGAAGCTCAGGTGAGTCATCGCGTTCCGATCTATTAATTATTGTTTTTACCGTGATTTATCACCTCTATATTTGTACAATCATAATTATAATATAACGCGTACCTGTAGTGTATTATTCTGATATTACGAGAGAGGGTTGCAGCAGCTCTGCTCCGCGGGTGTTCGGAGACACGCCTTATATCGACGGGGAGAGGGTTGAACCGGTCGTCGTCGGTTGATTATCGGTTGCTTTTAACAAGTATATAACACATTATAACCAGCAAGCCCCGTCGTCGGAGAGTAAAAATATTCTGCTTGTTTTCGGTATTGCGCGAATCGTGTATAGGTATACTACAGTTCATCGCGATCCTTACGACGTACACCTCTAAATATTTATTTATCCAATCGCGGTATAGGTTAGGTACAACGCGTGAGTTGTTTATACATGATAGGAGAAAACTATCGGTATAGTGTATAGTTACAGTCGAGTCGCGATAACTTGCGATGATGAAGGGATATATAAATATCGGTTTGAAATAAATAACTCGAATTTACCAAAATTATGATTAAAAAAAAAATGAAAAAGACTTAGCTGTAAATAATACAGTATTATCATAAGAACAAATATTTGGCTATCAATATTTGAAGTTTTGGCTGTTTATTAATTAAAGCTTCTAATTTGTTTGCTGCAGTAATATGCTTCGAATATAAAAGTATCCCACCATTCCCACGTCGTCGAGATTCAACAAATAGGTAGTCTAACAGTTTAAAATGATGACATTGCTTGGTTTTCCGTAATATTATTAGAAGATTATTTTTTGGGACTTTTAATTTTTATAGTTTTTTAATTTAATTAGAATCACTACTATTTGATAAATTATTGATACCGGTGATATCAATAAGTACAACACTACCATTGAATACGCATCGGTTATATTGATGCATATAGGTACGTTTGAAATGTAGTCAATGGTCATTCCTCTCACACTGAAATACCCTGCAGATATTATATAACATAGGTACGTACTTCTATCTAACTATTTATCACAACTTTATCTTCGAGTTAACGAGACTAATAGTACTCGTCGAGCGTTGAGAGGATTTCAAGTTAAAAAAGAAATTCGAGTATTATATCCAAGATTTTCGAGCTATCGAGTTTTGAGTATCTACATCGCGACTAGATTTTATCTAAATAATATGATGTAGATACCTACCTATAACCTGTACACCGTGTGTTAAGGACGATACCGTGCCCTGCGAATGATTGATGAGATTATTCGGATCGCGCGCGTTGATCCGACGATGATCCGACTATTTTTAATTACACAAACAAAAGCACCGCCGACGATCATTGCAGCATTACTGCGCTGCCATATATACGCGAGCGCAGGAATTTTCCTCAGCGAATGATACGACCGCCGGTGCAGCAGACCGTCCGTTGTACACTCCGAAATATTATTTTCTTTAATTGGGTGAACCGGGTATAGGCATAGTAGTAACATTTATTTAAATAAATTCTCATGGTATTTGAATGAAAAACCCGCGTGGTTACAAATCAATGTCTCTCAAACATTATTTCATAATATAATATGGTACCTACATAGCATTTGTCCGATATTAAGTTATTCCGAATAGGAGTTTTAAACCCGTAAATTCACTTAGAAATGCCCCCCTAAATATTATATAAACCTTCCATCGTTATAGTAGTATTCCGATCAAAGAATAATTACGCCACTCTAGTTCTATATTATTTATATTCTTATGCAGCCTGATGGCTTAGCTACGAGACAAATTGTCTGCGCGCCAATAACGCATACGCCATACGCGCCGAGTTGTTTGTATAATTATTTTAATTGAATGCGCATTCTATATAGTATTATACGATAGAAAAGACGGTGTTAATAAGTTTCACTACAGCGTTTGTTCCAGAAAAAAACTTTTTATCTAATTAATATTTTATTAAATACGAATTCAGATTTTTAAATTAATAATATGGAGAGCCAAAATCATTAAAGTTCAAGGTTATTTTACGTTTCATAATAAAAAATTGAAAAATTAGTGTTTTTTATCGTTGAAAATTTGAGATGGCCACAATGTTCATTTACTTAAAAATATAAAAAGCCGGATAATATTAAATTCATTTAATATGTCCGCCGAGTATTCAAATAGTTAGGTTACCTATACCTGCATTACGTTTTAAAGTTTGAATCTAAGATATTACCTATAAATACGACGGTAATACTATGGGTATAATGACTGAAAATAATGCCAATAAAATAAGCAATCGATAATAATTAATGCTGCCACTGCCGTCCGATCACAAGTGGAAAAGTATTAGTAGCTATACGCGGCTGTTTTTTGTAGCTCTGTTCGGCATTTAAATGAACACGTACATGCATACGATATCAATTATTGTTATTGGCACATAAGCAAGCCGCGGTATACGTATATATACATTTTGATAGGTTTTACCGATTCGGACACTCCTCCTGTATAGGAGAACCGCCGCCGTTATAAGCGCATTATTTTAATATATATACTGTCTCGTGTATGTATATTTTATATACATACCTAGATTCTTGTACACATACTGAATATAATATATATTATGATATGATAGACGGTAGACATGACGAGTGTAGTGGTAGCATATAATATTATATTAAACCTATGTGTGTGTGTGTGTGTGTGTGTATGTGTGTGTTGCGGCGTGTGTCGGCGGACTACAGCTCCCGAGATACGGCCGCGTTTTAATTTTTTTTTAATCGGGTGCGCCCATAACTCGTTACGTCCCCAAAACAATATTTAAAAAAAAAATAGGTAATATATTATTATGTATATATCGTAAGCGCGCATACACATGATAAAATATAATAAATCTGAAACGCGGGTTTTCGTTTTTTAAGTGGCCTTTCGCGTTCGATTTATCTGCGGCCGAGGTTAATAGTAATTATTATTATCGAAAATATAATAATATTATACTCAGGAACCCCCGTGTAATAAAAATATTACATTATACGTGTACGCACTCGGCCACGTTACTACTATGTACGCGTTCGGACGAAGATGATTCCTTATACGTGGTATTATATACACGATAATATTATTATCATGTGCTTGGTGGTGGCGAAGTCGACGACGGCAACGACGACGTATAATAATAATTGTAATAATCTCGTGCTCGCGCGCTTTGTAAAATAATAATGATACCAGTGCAATCGTCGTTATAATAATAAAAATATTAGGTTTTATCATTTTATATAGTACGACCGCAATCAAGCAGTAGCCCGTTCTCCATAATATCACGATAGATATACTGTTGGTATGCGTAATATACGTAACCGTGTAATTATATTATACTTATAATATAATATATTATTGTGCCTAATAATACTGCGTTTGCCGTATTACGACTGATTATTTATTTTTTTGTTAATTTTTTTTCCCCAACAGGAACACAACGTGGATGACAGCAGTTCGTTTATGAACGACTTGCCGCTACTAAAACGTAAGTATCTTCGTACATTTAATTTACCTAATATTAAAATACATTACTTATATGTTTGCTTGGAAAAAAAATAATTGTATGTAAACGCTTGACGTCGATATTATTATTTTAATACATGGATGTTCGAATAGCAGACGCGCGAATAATTGGCCTTATACTGGTTACCGGTTACCGGTTACCGGTTCGACGCGTGTGTGTGTCCAAAACTCCGAACAGTTTTATATATTACGTAGGGGCGTGCGCCTTACGACGGTCCTCATCTCAGCCTGCATTCACGTATTTTCTTTGTGATATTTAATTATGTTTTCGATTTCAATTATCTATCGTCGTAGTGTAAATCGTAAACGTAATGATTAATTTCTCGACGGAACGCGAATTACGCGCACGCACCCACCGTATACGCGGTATGCTGCAGTAGTTTGGCGTTTTCGTGGAAACGCGTCGTCCCCCTATGTATAGGTACCGACGGGCGACGGCGACAGCGATCGGTCTCGTTGATTGGCCAGCCGGCGGGGCCAATAAAACGGAAAAGTTCGACGTCCCGCTGACGACCAAACGTCGAGGGTCCTTTCGCCCCCGGGGCTCGGGTTCCCAGGTGCTTTATCCCGGCCTGCAATCTTTCCCCCCTTCTCAATTTTCAAGCCTAATAAACCCATTTGAATAATTATTTCATTAAGCATCAGTGCGTGTGTCGCGTGTAATCGTATTTTTATAATACATATACATACATTTATTTAATTTTATCACCCGTGATTTTCTCGTTCCGGTCCGACGGTTAGGTACTTTTATAATAAATATTATTTTACTCGACGATCTCCACAGACCTTGTATCGCCACGACTTTCGTACCTCACCCTCCACACGGCACGTCCTATGTATATAATATGTGCGTATAATTCAATACGCCGGCGCAGCATCATATATACGCGTCGGTTAAAAAAATAATAATTTCTGTAAAATAAAAAATATTACGATGAAAATTTGTTTGCTAAATGGAAAAAGGGGTTGCGCGCCGAACGTGATTTCGTGCTCGTTATTACGTTTATGTGTCGATTTTTTCACCCCTCTAATGAGGAGAGACCGCCGCCGTCTGGTTTTCACGGCAATGACTTTACGGGTGAAGGAGGGGGGCGCACATCTTTCCCCGTGTACTCACTCGCTATACACTTCACACACATATACACATTTAATAATATATGTATACTTTCTGACGCACCGAGGCCGCAAAATTCCGAATAATCACGTTTGCCGAAAATTCGAAATATTATGAAATATTATTTAATACGGTATAAACTGCCGCAGCCGTAATGACGAGATGAAAAATACGAGTATAGTTGCAAAACAGATTTTGGAGACGGTCGTCATTATATTATTATTATTATTATTATTATATACGTTTACGTGTTGTATTGTATTATTGTCGTTTTATTCAATAACGCGTGTAGGTATATACACTATACGCACATCGTGATTATATTATAATATATCCTTCTGTGTGATTATCGCATATGCCGCCAATCGCCATGCCCATGCCACATATTTAATAATAATTATTATTAATATAATGTAACGATCGCGCTACACTGTATAATATGCATATAATACCGCGACCTATGTATATATTATGTGCGTGTAATTTTCGAATATGAATAATATTGTAAATAACGAAAACGGTGTTTCGGTTTGCGCCTAGGTATATTTGTTTTTTTTCTTTCGGTTTCCGCTTCCCACCGTGCGTTTCACACCTCTATTGTACTGCAATAGCTGTATATTATGTGACATTTGACGAGGTGGTAAGTAGGTACGCCCGGCGCTCATGTTAGGTACCTATATAATATTAAACAGCTCATACGCATATGCAAGGTAGTGTTATTTTTTTTTTATTTTTTTATATTTTCTGGGGGCGTCCACCGGGAACGGCCCAGAAAAACACGGCACCCCCTCGACGAGCCGCGCGTATACACGGCTAATTTGGGGTGTGCCGCGTATGACTTGACGGGGGGGCGTGCGCGGACATCTGTTGTATTCGTGTTAGCGAATTTTTTTTTTATTTCAAGTTCCATTGTCGATGTTGTGAAAAAGCACACACACGCTGCACAATCATTTCGCACCCTCCCGCCCGAACCTGAGACGTTATAATATTATTATTGTATCCGAAGGCGGGTTTTCGTTCGAGAGGACGTATACCCATATTATATTGTTGTATATATATATAAATCACGTTTGTTCGATATATTTGCAGTGTATTACCGTTACCTCCGGCTAAAAAATGTTGACCAAATGTTCGTCAGACACTATAACGTCTATATTATAATCTATACATTAAATTATAAGTATACTCTTATACAATTTGGAATTTGTTTGACAATAGTCTGAACATTTTTGAGTACTCGTTCAACGTCGCCTCCAATACACTAATTTTCTATATATTGTAGTAATATACTTTTGAAGTTGAAACTATTTATTATATAATAACATTCAAGGGACCAAAAAATAATAGACCACAATGATAATATACTATGTAAACGTAAAAAACCAAATTAATTGAAAAATAATATGTAACGGAATGACGTGTACTTCAAAGATATTTAAATTCAATTAAGTTAAGTACTAATGTACAACGATGATTTAATACGATAAAGCAAAATAAATCTTATATATGTTTAAAATAACATAGATACTTATATTATTGTACTTACTTTGTAACATTGTTTAACCTTAATAACTCAAAATTATGAAAAAATATATTTAAATATAAATTTGTTAGTCATATAGATGGTTATCATATTTAATTCAAGTTTATAAAACGTTAAACAATGTACATTTTGTCTATATTTTGAATATTATTGCATCTTCATTTTACTCTTAATATCTATACTCTAATAATTGAGCAAAGATACAGGGTTCAGTTTCGATCATATCTATATATCTTCCCCAATTCATCCATAAAATTGTATGAATGAGACTTATCATAAAGAATAAGATGTTAGATAAAAAAATATGTTATAATAATATTATTACTGGCATTATAATGAAGTCATTACAATCGATAAAAATGAAACTTTAGAAATATAATATGTATCAATTGTTTCATAGAATCGAAAAACTCAACAATTACGCTTAAATGGTGATATTTTATAGGTTTATTATTGTAATTGTATTTATGTTATATTTCGTTATTCTGCTTCTACTACTAAGAAGGCATCTTAAAGACCATTATGGTATATCGCTGTAGCAACAGTGTCCCTCCACTTCTCCCTGTCCATTGACACTTCCTCTGCGTTCTCCACCTCAATCATTCTGGGGTCTATCATCCTTGATTCTATCAATGCGACGTCGTATGGGTCATTTCATTTTTATTCTCATAAAATTAAGTCACTTCTTCTTGTGAAAAAAAAGGTCTTTCATTTATACCATTCATTTTTCTTTAAAACTGAAGGAAATTGTAATTATAATATTGTTTTATTGTTTTAATAACTATTGTCATTTTTTATTCTATAGGTATGTCCACTACCCCTTCGGACGTATTTTGCAGCGTACCTGGACGTCTATCGTTGCTCAGCTCTACATCAAAGTACAAAGTAACTGTCGGCGAAGTCCAACGCAGGTTGTCGCCTCCAGAATGTCTGAACGCCTCTCTATTGGGCGGCGTGCTCAGAAGGTAAATATTATATTATTTTCTATTTAAAAATAATATCCAGAGTTTTCATCGTATTATTATTTTAATAATTCCGACGTACACGCGCCTGTGAATAAAACGTGACCAAACAATCTGAGCAAACTACTGCAAACGTATGTGTGTGTGCGAGTTTTGGACAAAAAGTGAAAACAACCACAAATTGACTACACGATTGGTGTGTAGCCAAAACACGCAAGGTCTCAGCGGCAAAAAGTTACTTCTGTGGAACCATCGCGACGCGTGATTTCAAACTAATTTTATGTAACCGTTAAAAACGACCGTGAGAGATAATCAATTACAATAATAAACATGGTGAAAAATAAAAAAATAAGTACGCTGAAAATTAAATTATATTAAACTTTATGAGCGCAGTGACCCCTTGTTGGACGAAGGGATACTATTCGTCGCGTCTTCAAGTATCTATATATTATTACCTATGTATAATATATCATTATGCAGCTTATGTGTATATAATAATTAATACTGAGTACCCATAGGACATAATTTTAACAAGTGCAAATCGCTAATACTCAGTGCGGCCGCGACTCGCGAGTAGGTTGTTTCTCCCATATTTAATGTCCGTTTTATTTTTATTATTATATAAATATAATATAAACGAGGTATCTACCTATTTTTTTTTATTTTTATTATTATTAAACGCAATAAATTCTTTAGGATCATCGTTTAATTTACTGTCGGCTTTAAAAAAAGAAGAAAATTCCAAACGATCAGCCAGTGATGGTAGAAACGAGGAGCTTTCTATATACATAATAATATTATATAGGTACACTCCGTATACGCGGGCGTGAGCTGCAACGCATCGCACGACGGCCAGTGAACACCTGTTGTTGTGTTCGTATAGTATGTATAGTTATAAGCACTTAAAAACACGCGCGATCGGGTACACCCTAAAAAAGTTACTTAACGCGTTTTTATGTCCAGTAAAATACATACGCGTTTCATCAATCGTAAAGTCCTTTATTTCAGCGTTTTTACGACGTTCGTCGTCGTTGAGGGTTTTAATCATTTTACGCCTATACGCGACATGACACTTATTATATTATACATTATAATATACACGGATAACATATACCTAATAATAATACTATTTTATATATTATTATAGATACAATAATTTTGTAGTCTCTACGTGTATTAGAATACACGCCATCGTTGTCCTTTAATTGCCATGATGCTTGTCGACGCGTGTAATAAAAACGATAGTAATATAATATTCGTACTTATATTGTAAACTTCAGTGGGGGGATAGTTGCGTACACTCTTAAAATATACGTTAGGTGACATCCAATAATATGATCCAACTTTTACAATAACTTTCACACGGCATATATCTATTTTAGATTCTAAACTTGTGTATAGGCGGACATGGGATTTTTCCCGAGACTTTTATTATGTGCGATTTTCGTAAGTTATTATCATAACGTTCTTTTATAAAATCACAATTTTTGCTTATTTTTACATACGGCGCTAGAAGTTTTGCTATCAGCTTATTTATGCTTCAAATACATCGTTAGGCTGAAGGTCAGACTTATTTCTCGTGTCTGAGGGGAGGTAAATTTTCTTGATATCCAATTCTAAACCACCTGCAGATTTCAATACGAAATTCAGCTATACTGGAAGGGCTGCAGCGGGATTCGTGTAATCGTGCGTATTACATATACATATGGTCTGTTTGACGACGTTGTCACGGTATCGAAAATCGGGAGTGTAGTCGCCGCACAGATGCCTAAAATTTCGTCGATCCATCGATGGTACATGGGAAACGGTATTTAGTATAAACTATAAATCATTATAATATATTACGTATATAATAGTCAGTTAAACAAAATGCGATCTGTCGTAATGGCAGACGACGAATACAAGTGTTTTAGGTGTATCGTATAACATATTCGCTATATATATATATATAAAGGATATAATGTTATATAACAAGTTTTTATTTTTATTTTTGTCGACCCAATGCGGCTTGGCACCTCCACCCGGTGCAGTCATAAATATTCAACTACTTATCTAGGTACATGAATGAAACTCGCAGAATCAGAAATTCGACTATTTTCGTTCATATCGGTACTCGTGTCGGTTTAAATAAATCGCGCAGGTCTCAAAATGTTTTCGAAAATGAAGACATTGTTTTCTGAGATTATTCTGTATTATTGTTGTAATTGCTGTTGCTGTTGAAGCGCGCATTCTCTCGGTTTTAAATTAGGAGCCTATACCTAGTAGATACCTATACATACTATCATAGCTATTATACCAAGGTATCTCTTTAACGGAATACGAGTGATCTATTGATCAATGGTATCGTGGTTATAACGTATAATATAACAGTTCTCGTCACTCACGGTATATTATATGTCTATATAAGAACCGCGGTGGGTGATGTCTGCAAGTCTAAACACTAATTCCTCAATTTGCATATTATTTACTTAAGACGATGATATAATTTATAAATACGGAAATATAGCATTAAAACAACACTTGTTTTCGGAATGTTTTCAGAGCAAAATCCAAAAACGGTGGACGGCTATTGCGCGAAAAACTTGAAAAAATTGGCCTAAACCTGCCGGCCGGACGAAGAAAGGCCGCAAACGTAACGCTGCTCACGTCACTCGTCGAAGGTATGTTACCCAATTTATAAATAGTATTACATTAAACATTATTTTTCTATACACGACTTACACATCATGCAATACATGAGATCGATATACGTACCGAACAAGTCTAATATTTTCGAGCCGCATCCGTGCGTAAACAGTATATGCTAAGTGTTATCACGTCTATAAATCTAAAACCTGAGTAAAGATATAAAACTTTGCTTTGAACACGAAGTGACGACGGAAAACGGCCGTCGATCTACGAAATGAAACTTTTCGACGGAAATCGGAACACTCCATTTTATCTTACCCATTTATGAAATTATTTTTAAATGTTTCAAAAACTTATACCTATCTTTTGTCGTCGATGTCTATCGTTGGAGCGACGTTATAATATTGGACTTATCCGATGACCCACATCGATATAACCGTCACGCAAACCTTCGATAGGATTGCGGCGGCGGCTACGACTTTATATAAAATACGTTTGTCGTGTTGAGGACGTCTTCCCGCGTGCGATAAATCTCTTGGTACCGTATATCGTGTGTGACGTCATGCGGCCGCTGTCACTCTGAAATGTCGTCCTAGGCTAGGACGGAAATTTATATATAATTATGTGTTGGTATTGGTTATACACATATTATATATATAAACATTATAAGCTATAGGTACAAGTATTTGCAGCAAAGTGACAATTAATATGAGGGCGAATTCTGAGATTTTTTCAGCTATCATCAAATATGTATACTTTTATATAAGAGTTGTATTTATCTCGTGGAGTAGCCGTAGGTAGGCACTATTTGATAGTTTAGTTTTCGCTTCGTATTCAAATTGTTGAAAATAAAAAGGAATGCCACTTAGAGAAATGCGTTACAAAAATAACATTAAGGGACTTTGATTTTTTTGATGTATTAGTTTATATTGCATTCGGTTCGAGAGGGAGGTACATAAGCATGTAGATCACAATATGCGAAGTTTAAAATGTTTAAGATACCAAAAATGACATGGGTGAAGAGTGCTTTATAGTGTTTGTTCTCATTAAAATTTATCTTAACTTTAAAAGTATCCAACTAAAAGTAGGTACTATTTTAATACTTCATGAAAATAAGTTTCACTTTTCCATCTAGCCAACTAAGATTTTTGAGAAACTCAAAAACTAATACTTTATTTTATTTTTTTAAGTAAACTAATAACTACCGTGCTGACTACAACCTATAACCATGGCTCTCTAATTTATACAATCTTTGTGATTGACAGTTACACAAAAATATTAATTAGAATTATAATTAACTCAATACTTATAAAATGTTTCAATAATGGGGACAAACGCTGCAACTATACACCTTGTAAATACCGATTTCCGATTTTTATATAGTCGCAATATCCGGATATTTTTCAAGAATTCCTAACGTCGACGCACATACCTAAAAATATTATACGCGAATGTACCGACCACAAGACGTGTGCGCAAAACGAAAAAACGGGCCAAAAACGTGCTTCATTTGTGCATGCGAAATTAACGTTTGCGGTCGTCGTCGGCGTCGAGCTGCGCACAATATTATAGTCATATTATAAAAATATATTATGTGTTGTGAAGCCCAGCTGCGGACAACGTTGTTCGTTTCGATTGTATGTCACGCCCACCGCCTGAACTTTTCCCGCATCCGGAATTTCGCAGTCCGGAAACACAGTTATATACTGCAGTGTACTATACAACTGATAATCAAAAAGAAAAACCTATACCGCTATATGTAGTGAAAAAATATAACATTATAAGATCCTCATCATATTGGAACGCGATGCAAAGTGTTTCGCCCGACCGCTAAGTGTATAATGTATGCGAATACCTATAATATGTTTTGCACTTTACAGACATACCTATATTATAAGTATTATTATAGTATAGGTAGTAGGTACTATAGTACATGTAAGTGCTTTTACTTCAGGTGGCCGAAATTCTTTCAGTTTGTAGACACGCGCGTATTACACGTATCTGCGTTTAGTTAGACCTAAAAGAATTATAAATTATAATTAAAATTCGAGAAGGATAATTTATAATCTTTTCGGGAAGCTAAAGCCTTCATGTACATTCCTTGCCGTAGTATTATTAAGGCGGTGATATCGTTTATGACGAGGCGTCATATCTGTGACCCTTAAAATAAGAGTCTTTTAGAGATTTTCGCCTAGGATCTGCGTCATGAGTGTTCCGCGTGAAAAACATATTTCGTTTCATTAATATTTTCTATCCCTATTTCAATTCGTCTTGATATTTCTTTGTCGAATTTTTGTGCAATTCAAAAACTGCTTACTACTCGACCCGCGGCCGTACCCTTGAGACGAATTCGTTTCTTATCGAAACTATCGCACCCGCGAGCTGAACAATCGCGGGATGACAGACCGCGGCCGGCTATCACGCACAACATCGCGTCGCCGATTGACTCGTTGCCGTCGACGCATTCTTCAGAGTGGCAGTGTGTGTGTGCTTATATTATAATTTATAATGTGTCACCCTTTATATATACCACGTTATATTATTATCATACTTTGCGTAAACATACAAAACCACCGCGGCGGCGGCCCCGAACGCGGGCACATAGCTCTGTTCGGACAATCGGACACTATTTGCAGCTATCGGACACACACTGTCGGCGGAGGTGTTACCTAGAGGCGAAGGCGAGATATTATAACGCGGTTTTGCATCACGTCGCATATATATATATATGTACTTGTGCGAGTGTGTGTGCATAAGTATATTCAACGCAGTCCGACGACGACATCAGGTGCCCCAGTCGGAGTCGGCGAATAAGAAACGGTTTTGCAGCGGTTGATTTATGGCCCGGACGGTCGGCAACAATGGTCTCTTCTTGACTCGGCGCAACGGTCGAGGTGTAAAAGGATAAAATATATTATATTATGTGCGCGAGTGCGCGCACGCGAATAGAAGAATAAAAATTATAATAATAAAATAGAAAAAAGGCGGCACCGGTATGTAGATATACCTATAAGTATGTGCTTGTTGAGAGAGAAGGAGAGAGAGAGTGCGGGAGAGACTTGGCGGTAGATGAAATAGATTTAACTGATCGCAATCACTGCCCGGTAATATACATGTATAATAACAATATACTCACATATAGTATCAGCTCATTTATAGGTATGTATATATATTTAAATTATACACGACGTATCAAAAAAATAAAAAAAATTAGTTCAAAAGAAAAGTTTGCTCATGATATCACATTATACACGATTCTTGCGTATTGTGTTAGTAATTCGCTTAGGCATATTAAACATTATTATGTATTATGATATTTTTATGTCCAACTTCCCAGAGGTGAAATTATCCCCCATATTACCTATAATATAACATCTTTAAAATAATTAATAAATCCATAATACAGTATGATAATGCAGTTTTCGTCGACTTTCGCTTAAAAAACACCAAATTACACAATATTTGGACGGTTGTTTTCAAAATTCGATTTTAAATCGTCGCGAGAGTATTCAATCTCGGAAAAACTCTTGAGTAGGTCATGAATTAAAAATCTTTTTATACATATAAGACTGGATTAAGTATATGATGTAGGTGCTCCTTTCGGTATAAAAACGACACATATTATAATACGACGTAATTTTCTATACACATAGATATCGATGGACCATTGGTCACACATTCGTGCTCTGATAAACAGCCGGATCCAGCGAATCGTTCGCAGATAGTTTACTTCTGCGGTAGCGGATTGCATGATAATATAATAATGTTAGGACGGCCCTCCGATCGATTAAGCGTGAAATTCTAATCGGTCAAAACATAAAATCGTGGTAGTATAATAATTACTATAATCACGGTTAGCACCATTATAAAGACTCGTTTCGAGTGTATTTATACACATAATGATATCATAGATACTTATGTATGCACATTGCACACACATACACATAATTGACGACACGCCTCGCGCACACATTGTGTACACCTGAGCGTACACAAATTATAATAATACATAATGCCTGAGTAGTAGCAGCAGTAGTTAATGAGAGTTTTTAAAAAACATTCGGAAGTGGACGTTTTGTCGCGGACAAAATAATTATGCGCTGCTACTGCAGCTGCTCAATAAATCGCACGCCACTGCCGTGACGAACGCGTGACTCTCTCGTGCCGGGCGATTCGTATGTGAACAAGATCGCATATAAAGATACGCGTTAAGAGAGGAAAAGAGAGATAGAGTGATAGATGGAGAATTTTGGAAACGACACGCTGTTAGAAAATAATAGGTTGCGTACAACTTGGTTTGTCTAGCGAGAGGAAGACACAGAGAAGTTTAACACAAAGATATCAATATTTTTAGAAAAATATTCCACACACAAAATATAACATGCACAAGTATTGGCTATATCTTTTAAAGAAAAAAAAATTATTCCCCCAAAACTTTTGCCGAATCCGAGCAATTCGGTGGACATATATAATATATATATTGCATCCTTGTTTTCACAGAGTACAAAATTTCGGATTTTCGGAAACGTCGGATTTTCGGTTCGCGTTTTTTTTAATATATATTCGCGCTCGTTAAAGTGTCGATATTGCTCGTATGCCTAAGCTTATAATAATCCATACAACGATGGATAATATTATGTTTAATCGTATATACGACGATGATCGACGGCCACAGACGTCTATCGGTTTCCCGTTACGACAATAATCGTCGTCTCGAGCTCTGGGCAACACCGGCTCAGGGAATTATTATTAACCTACTTTTTGTCGCCACCGTCCTGACCTCGCGGCGGCTGTTATTATATTATTTCGTTATAATAATATTATATTGTACGTAATCACCCCGCGTACATATCATTATTATTGTTATTATTGTTGTTGTTGTGTTGTTGTTGTTATATTAGACGTATATTATATTATTATACATACTGCTGCCGATAATAAACCTATATCATATTATAATATACGTCGTCTTAAGCCTCGGTGGGAGTATGGGCTGCCGCCGTTCGCGAGATGCATCGAAATTAGAATACAT